TAAAAGGCATGTGTTTCACATACAATTAGAAATGGTGATTTGTCCCGATTCGTTGGGAAACCTGACTCATCCGACTCGAACGGAGACATGAATTCCTCGTTAAAACTGGTCACGGAGATCCTTGATAGACTTAAACCGGGGTTGAGGCCGGGGCCGGGTAGCGTATCCCCCGACCCTCCGCCCCGGTGTCCGATATATAATTTTATTAATATATTTAATATAATGTGTATATATATATATATATATATATATATTCTAAAATTAGGTCTTGACCGGGGACGGAGATCGGGGTTTGACCAGAATTTGACCAAAAAATAAATCGAGGACGAGATATTAATCCCTATACCCGCCGAAAACCGGGGCCGAGGTCTACATACAATCAATTGTTAGGATCAGGTTTTTGTGGGTTCTCAACTCAATTATGTTTTACAAAAAGAAACGATAAAAATAGCTTAAAATACATGTTTTTTCACAAAAAATAGTCATCCAGTTCTCATTATTTAAGAAGAAATGCTAAATGACCCACTAAAGAGAAAGAAGAAGTTAGCTTTCAACCTGACTGATGTGACAAAAGTTGACCGAGTTGAAAATCAACTTTTTTCTCTTCAATGGACCATTTTTACGCCTTTCTCCTCGAAATAAAAAGGATTTGGTGGTTATTTTTGTTTTTTTTTTCTACTAAACAAACATTTATGTTAAATCTTACTAATAGTATTCAAAATCATATTACAAAACATATAATATCAATTACCAAACACTTTTTGTCTCTATAGTTTCGAAATCAGAAGATGGCCATTGTGATTTGCAAAAATATCCGGATTTGGTCCTTCCCATTAGTTATAGTTAAATTTTCATTAAATAAGGGGCATTTTCGTCATTTTATAAAAAAAATTGTCTTTTATCCAATCAAAAACTATAGGGACGAAGAGCATAAGAATGATTATGATTGTGTAAAAGACAAAAAAATGATAAAATGACGAAAATGCCCCTCATTTAACATATTATTAACCAATCATTAAAGGAATAGATCAAATTAAGATGTTTTTACAAACCACAATAGTTATCTACTAATCTCAAAACTGTAAGAACGAAAAATTATTACCCTGAACAAATCATGGAGACCAATTTTTTTTTATTAACCTAGGTATCCAACTCGTTATGCGAGCCGACTAATCCTAGGACGACTACTCGCTTCGTGGATTTCCCAGAGTCACCGTATTTGAACCTCCATGACCACAAATGAATTTTTATTCCTTTTTGAATTCAAACCTAAGACCCAGGGGCGGATGGCTTAAGGGGCATAGGGGGGCCATGGCCCCTGTGCCTTTGCATCTCCATCCTCCAATAGATTGAAAATTTAATTATAAAATAATTGAAATTTTATTTTGGCCTCCCCATTTATTCACCATTAAAATAATATACATCAAGTCTAACAAATGTTTTATTTAAATAATAACTTGATCTCTTCATTTTTTGTCAAGCTAAATATTGTTTATTTTTCACTTTTAATTAGGCTAAAAATTGTTGGTTTCTATAGTTAGAACTAAATATTTTATTGTGAAACAATTGTTAAGGAGATTTAGGGGCCGTTTACTAAACGTTTACCCGGTGAGTACTTGCTGGACAATTTTTCTTACCAGCTGAACATGGCAAAGGGCAAAAATCTTACCCGGTAAGAGCGATGATAAGAATGGAAAGTTTTACCCCGTAAGTGAGGGTGACGACTCTTATCTGGGTAAGCGCTTACCAGGTAAAATTGTTGTATAAGATACGTTTTGATGTACTACAATCTTACCCGATAAAATAAATAATAGTGTTGACTCTTAAGATAAGCGTTTACCGGGTAAGAATTTAGGTAAACGGCCCCTTAAAGTTTTAAAATGATAATTTTATACTAAAATAAATACCTTAAATATTATGATTATAAAATATATTGAAATKAAGTTTTGATGATATAACGATCAAACAAAGTCTTCATAATTATAAAATTAATAAAATATTAATAACAACCGCGATAAAAAGTAATTCGTCGATTAAATAAACATTTGTTACTGCATGGGTTAGATGAAAATACAAGAGTGATATAATCGGACTCCATGACATAAGTTTGTAGAGTAAATTATACTGGTATTACTATTTTTTTTGTTAATGTTTTGAATGTTTAAGTTTTTGGAGTAAATTATATAATGTATTAATTATATATAAATAATGTTTAAGTTGGTATTACTAATTTTCCGTTAATACTTTGAATGTTTCGAGTTTTAATCTTACATTAATCAAACTTTTTTTTTTTTAAATTTAATAGTCTAAAAATGAATCATTTGGATTTATAAAATTTTACAGTATTATAGCATGTCCAGCATATTCCCCATGGAGAGTTAAAACTCTAATAAAAATATTATTTCTCTATCATAAACCATTAATATCAAGGATTCCTATCGGTGTGAATATGCTAAAAAAATGTTTATCTCTTGTTATAATCATTTTTGGTTTACACTCTCTCATGTTTTCTCCATTTTGGAGAGTTTTGGAGATGTTGTTGGAGCAAAAATATACCTAAAATCTTTATTTTCTTAATTTTAAAAAATTTATTGAAGATGTTCTTAATTCGGCCCCCCGGACTACAACAGTCGTGTTCCGCACCTCTAGACACTTTTGACATTTGAAACTCAAACTCAAACCAATCAAATACGAGTGGTTAGGTCACCATCTGATGACCTAACCAACTTATTTGGAGACCAAATGACCAACATAATCAACATTTTGTTTTATATTGGTATGCACGTTTATTAAAAAAAAGATTCTTGTGATTATTATTTAATAAATTTAAATTAAATTATAATTCTCATAGAATTCTATGCTTCTTGAAAGTCAATCTCGATGTACTTGTTCAATAATATGACCCTTTTGTTCCATTAGTTTATTGACCATATGGAAAGCATGTTTATTGCCATGTTGTTATTCTTTTTGAACAATAAAAAATGCGTATAAAAAACCAGACAGGTTCTATCGAAATTTATCTGAAAAGACAATATAAGTTTATATTAAAAAATCTATACTTTTTTAAAAAAGTAGGTAAAAAACTACGATCTGTTGGTTAGGTCATCAAACCCAACAAATTGAAAAATGGTTTTCAGTGGTTTGATTGAATTTAGAGAATTGGTTTGTTTCAGGGGTTTATCATTGGGTAAATTGCATAAAAAATAATGTATTTTAACTTCATTCCTATTTTGACTAACGTATTTTTAAAACTTTCATTTTGGTACATAAGCAGTAAAGTTTTAAACATTTAATTACTCGGATAAGCGGTTGAAGACTAATTTTAGATTAAAAACATCCATATCGCTAACTACGTCAACAAATAATACTGAGCTAGATACCACATTACTTACCACATCAACATGGTAATCGTCAAACCAACTATAGTTGGGCCACTCGTGTTGAAAGCCCATTATAGGCTCATAGAACTATTGAAATGAATAATCCATGGAATAAATTACGTTTTTAGTCCCCATGGTTTGTGAAAAGGTGCTATTTTTGTCTCTATGTTATAAAAATTACAATTTTCATCCATAAAGTGTATAACTAATTGTTAGTTTTCGTCTCTATAATTAACAATATTCTTTTTTGCTTTCGTCCCTTACATTTGAATAAATTCATCCTTACATACTAATTTTCACCTCACACACACTTGAATATCAGGATTTCCTTTGGGTAATATTGTCCGCACACTTGATTATATCAAAATCAAATCAAATCATGTATTGAAAATGTAAAAAATATAGTTTTGATGTTGAATTGTGTAAGGAGGAAATTAGTATGTACTGATCCATTTAGCAATATATACTAATTGGAGGGAAGATCAAACGAGATTGCTAACTATTTAAGAAAATACGAAAACGACCAAATCACGTGCAAAATCACATGTGATTTTACATTGATGGTAGTGGTGTTCAAAAAAACTGTTGAACCGCTCAAGCCAGTCGAACCAAGTCAAACCGGACCGTTTTTTACGGTTTGAGTGGTCTGGCGGTCCGGGCCGATTAAAAGAATAGTGAAATCGTTCGGTCCGACCTGGCTTGCGGTTTGAACGTTTTTTTGAGCGTCTAAACCGAACTAACCGCCTAAAATACACATGCATTAATTATATTTAATTTTTACGTTGTAGTCTTTACTTGTATGGCTCGGTTAAAAAAAGTTTGTCAAAGACATTATGTTTTTAGTTTTCGTTTCTCAATTGACAGCGTTATCTAAATTAGCAAAATTCCAAAATCTATCAAAAATCAAATTCAAAATTCTAATCGTCCTTAGCCTTGCTTATTACGTATGCCCAAAATTCCAACTATTGTTGTGGATTTGTTCCACTTTTTTTTTCATTTGCTCAATGTTTTTTTTTTAATTTTAGAGATATACATTCTTTTATAATTCAGTATGTATTTTTTAATATTGCTATATTGGTAGAAATTTCATTTAAGAATAGTTATCTTGTTTGTTTAGTTTAAAACTCATAAGAGGTCCAAACCGTTTAAACCGGTCAGACCAGACTGTTTTCTTGTAATCCAGTTTGACAAGTTTGGTCATTTGTTGTCAAACCGCTTGGTTTGGAAAATTTTCTAAACCGCCATTGCTGTTTGGTTTGTGGTTTGGTAGTTTAAACCGTCCAAACCGGACCTCGAACACCCTTATTAATGGCAACAAAAAAAAAATTACGGGCAACCCTATGGCCGCATCTTCAAGTCGCGGGGCAAAGTCGTGTGAATCATATATGATTTTGTACGTGATGTTAGTGTGATTCGACTGTTCTTGTATTCTTTTAAATAAATATCATTATCGTTTGAATCCGAACCTATATAAGTGTATTTACTGTAAAATCCATCAATATATATATATATATATATATATATATATATATATATATTTGCATTTTCATACATGATTTGACCTGATTCTAACATAAACACAGATGACAGTTATCGTCAAATATGCCATTCGTATTTTTGTTAATGAAAATTAAGATCATATGCTTTAACACCATTAACCCCAAAAATCCCAAAATATTTCTCAAATTCATTCCCGTCTTTTTCATTCTCATCAAACAAATCAAATAAGAAAACCTCCACACCAATTCCAGGCCTTTTGGGGGTTCCAACGTTCTTCAAACCCCTTTTCACAACATTCCCATTGTACGCCATTGCATTCTCACCACTCGCCGCTTCACCGCCCGCCGTCGGCCACCCTGTCTCCGACACCACCACCGGAATCCGATCATATCCTTCTCTCTCCATCGCGTATATGAACGAATCAACCGTTTGATCAAACAGGTTATCGTAAATCAGGTTCTGATCCGTCAATGCATTTGTAGATCTGAACAAAGCTGAATCTAACGACACGTATGGTTGATTGTTTATGTAACTAAAGTAAGGATAGACGTTCACCATTAATGGCGATGAACTGTCGTGAAGGAATTGAAGGAGTCGGGTCAAATCGGGTAAGATATTCGAGTCGAAAGACGAAGAAGATGGAGGATACGAGTTTGATAGAATTGAAGCTGCTTGTGCTGATGAGATCTTAATTTTTTCCGACAGGTTAAGAGATTGTAGAGCTTGATGAAGGTTGATAATGGCGGGAATCACGTAAGGTGTGTAGAATGGATCTTTCAGAAATACTTCGTTTCCGACGACTAAGTACCGGATCTGATCGGCGGAGACATGGTTGAAGATGTTGGATTGAAGCCAGTTTTGAGCGGAGGTGGTGGTGCCGGTGGCGATTGAAGGAAGGTCTTCGTTGGGGACTCCGATTGTGAGTTGGATTCCGGAGCCGGAAAACGATTGGAGTGACTCTGGGTTGGGGTTGAATAGTCGAATGCTTAAGATACCGTTGGTAGTGATGACCTTGACAGCGGCGGAGGGTGGTGGAAGGTTGTTGGCGACACGGCCGTAGCAGATTCCGATAGGTACAGCAGCTGCAAGAAACAACGGGAATAAAACCACAGTTGCCGGATAAAAATCACGTCAGGTGTTATTCATATCCATACACATCATGAGGGAGAATATGATATGAACTTGTATTGGATGTTTGTTTTCAAATTAGATTAACTTATATTAAGGTGTTTGATTTTAAAGGGTGTTTGTAATTGTTTATAAAAACAACTTATTGACTTATTCTGATATGACACCGATGATAAACATTTTTGAAGGTTTGGATAAATAGCTTATACCGGTGCCAAACAAATAACAAGGAGTTTTTGAAAAAGTTAAATCACTATAACTTATAATAAGTTGATAAGAACTTTTGTAGAAAAACATAAGTTGTTTCAAATAAGCAATTCCAAACACCTCCTAACTTAATATTAAGAGATTGATTTAGCCATTGTTTGGCAAAAATATGTTGTCTTATAAGCTAGCTTATAAACTAATTTATTATATATGTACACGTATTGATGCATAAAAACTAGCTTATAAGTTAGCTTATTGAAACGCTCTACTTGAAGTAGCATTTTGTTAGTTTATTGTCACTTTTTCCAATTATAATCCCTCATTAATATTGATTATTATTTATCAGACCGAAATAGGGTTATATAAATTCTCATTGTGAGAAGGAGTCATTTGAAAGTATCTAAATAGATACTATGTTTACATATGGAACCCTATGTCGTTACATTCCACTCATTTACCGATGCAATTTCGAATACTTGAAATTGAATAAGTAAACAATTAAATTGGATTCGGTTGGATGGTACTAACGAAATCGAAAATGATTTGTTTGATATTATGGATGACTGGTTATGGAGGGTCGTGGATTTTTTTATTCGGGAGAAGAAGCAATGACGGTATCTATGGAATAAGGGTCGTGGAAATTCCCCACTGCTGCCTCCCGTAGGAGTCTAGGCTGTGTCTCAGTCCCAATGTGGCTGATCATCCTCTTTTCGCCTCAATGACGCCACACATAGCGCATGGAGACGTAAAATGTTAGAGTTTCGGGTTTTATACCGATATTTTAGCAACAAAAATCTAATAAAACTAACTATTAATTATAAATAAATATTAATAAAATTTAAATATTACTAATATTAATAAATATTAATTATTGATTAGTATAAATTGAAAATTAATTGTTAATTA